AAAGTTTTCCTTATGACGAATCTGAGGGATCTGATAGTCCAGGAGAGAGCAGCAGTAGCGTGTGCAAAGCGGAGAGACGCTCTCTGTTTCATTCGATTCCTGATAGAGCAGATCTCAGTACCTGCATTAAGCACTTGTGTTAAAATGTTGAAGGAAGGCGATGAGCGAACGAAAGCCATGTTCTTACTAGCAATGCTGGATATGCAGCAAAGTAAACCGATGAGGGTGAACATGAAAGAACCTGAAGAATTGGAACCCATGAAAAAGATAGACGAGATCAGGAGATTCTCAAACAAGGAGTTGAGGCTCACTAAAGAATCTATGGGAGCATTGCCGAAATCCAGTGAATACTGTGGACCGATCAAGAAGAAGTCATATAGCTATGTATCCGGGATCATAGGGATAGCGTACAATCCTTTCCTGAGTGAAGACATACGTGATTGCTTCTTTGATTATGAGCAGGCGGTGTTACTAAGATTCTGGACGTCCAGAATTGTGACGACTAAGAGCGTTAACAATCCACAGGCCAAATTGGGATTGGTCTTGGAAGAAGAGGTGACTGCACCTTCAGTACCAAAATCCGACAAGAGAGTGGAATTTGGGTTGGGATTCTCAGATGAATTACTGAGAACGAGCTTGATGGCAGTGTGGGAATTGATGAAGCCATCGTGGTGTCCTAGTCCCAACGCTGACTCAATATTACGGGCGACACAGGACATACAGAGGGAACTGAATGCGGACTGTAACCTGCGTGACCTCAACATCATATATAATGTGATGATAACAGCCTCTAAGAGCAACGGAGAAGATAGAGTGGAGTTGCCTGGCTGGGGACCAGAAGACTGGGTCAAACCTGGTAGCTGTCTGGCGGAAGTCTGTGGACTAGAGGGTCACGTTTGTGGAAGTCTAGACTGTATGAAAACCCTGGAGAAACAACACAAGCAGTTGACGGTATTGTTTGGAAATGTAGTGATGAAAGCAAGAACGGAAACGGAACTGATAGCAGATTGCCATGGAGGAACCGATGTGAATCTAGTGACAGCACTAGGATTCTACAGCATGTTTGGTTCTTTAGAGTCACTATTGAATCTAAAACAGAAACATGAGATGGTCACAGCCATCAGCGTAGAAGTATTCCCAGGAGTTCTGCAGACTGAGCAGAAGTATATAGGAAAATGGAGGGAAGCAATCGAAACGGAGATGAACATCAGACACAGCGAAACTTATTGTAGACCATCAGGAGCACGATATTTGGTGGGTTCAACGTTGGCTCCAATGTGCAAGAGCAGATACCCTGTACATTTCGTGGCTGTGGACGTGAAGAGTACAAGAACGATCGTGGATCAAGCTTTCTCAGTGCCAAAGTGCGTGAGATTGGCGAGAATGTCTGAAAAGTCTTACGAGTTACTATGTAAGATGTTCTCAGCAGTTCCAGAGAGAACCAAAGAGGAGTTGGAGTCAATACTAGGAAAGAAGTTCATGGGATATGTGAGCGGGAACTTCAGTGACTTTGAAAAACAGAAACAGAGAGGATCAACTGTCACAGATTACAATGCAGTAGATGAGAATGATGAAATCCACCGAGTGATGATGGAAGTGGAACCATTGCTGGAAGCTTCAGGAAAACGCAATTGGAGGAGCATCATGTTGACACATGACGAGTTTCCTTGCCACTGCTTGCTGCAGACCTGGTGGTATCCCAAGCGTAGTAATTTGGTGTTGATCTGGGACTCTGGAGAGCTGCTCTCCATGGGTTTACCAGATTCATCACAGCCCATAACAATAGTGATAGTGGGAGTTATGATGGCGATACGATGGCTGGAAGCTCATGTGAGAGAAAATAATAGACAGGAGGCACCGACGAGAGAACAATTGCAGAAATTAGATTGTCTAAAAGATTTAGATCTTTTTGAGACAATGTGCAAAGTTCTAAACATTCCGATGGAAGTGAAGAAGATATGGGCAAGAAAACGATTGATGCCATGGTTCAGAGCTAACATGACTGCATGGTTGTACGAGTATGCGAAAAAGCATATGTCGAAACATGGCAGAGTGTACAGTGAATATCAGCTGGACATTGGGGCAGGAGCTTTCAAGCGAGCTTTCGTGACCCATCGGAATGCAGTGACCACCGCTGTGAAAAGAATTTCCAGGACGAGCGAGCGTAGTGGAAATGAGAAGGCAGAGATGCTGAAAGAAGATTTGGAGAGAAACGTGACGTTGTGTCTCCACAACAGCTTCTGTAGAAACAGAGAATCAAACGTGGATCCCCTACCTTGCTGTAAACAGAGGGTGGAAGAGCAGAAGTGTTGGAGGACGGCTTCCAACAGCGTCAGGATAGTCAATGACGTGCTACAAGACACGGAAACCGAGAGTGCGGAGTCAGTGTCACAGGAGGAGGAAATGGAGCATTGACGAATGGTCGAGAAAACAAGAGGCAGCAAGAAAGAAAATTAGAAGAATTTAGAAGTTTTAGAACTTCTAAACGACGAAAAAAGAAGAGAACAAAGGGATGATGAGGAAAAGTTAAAACTCAGAATTGTTTTATGTGTGTGAAAAACTCAAGTGAGAAACCAAGCAACCAAGTTGTAATTGAAAACTGAAACATTTAGTTGAGTTTTGAAATTGTTGCATTTATAAATTTGCATTTTGGTTTTAGTTGAAGTGGCTTTAGAGACACTCACTTATTATTTATTTAGAAAGGCTTGAGGGAAGAGTATATTTAAATATTCCAGCCTGCATGATTGTTTTTAATCACTTAGGAAGACTGATAACTTTGTGGTGACATGAAAAACTTGAGTAACTTCTTGAGGAGGGAGGTTGTTGCATTGTTCTTTCTAACCACAAAGTTTCTTAGTTTTAATACTCAGGACAATAGACAAGCAAGATTTCCGAAGGGAAGGAGCATAGTAGGATAATTTTAGCTTGTTGGTTGGCAGGACTGTCCTGCAAGCCAACACCTTTTAAATCTAGGAGAAAAAGTTTCAATCGGGACATTGACACTGGAAGTCAGAAAATATGTTTTATCTTAAGTCATATCCTCAATGTGCAGATTAATGAAAAAATTTGAAGGCTATAGTGATGTAGTATGATGCCATTTATATTCTGCAGTGAGTCGATGTGACGTAGATAAAAGTAATTTCGTGCATTTTGTAAATTCTGTTCGATGACACTGTAACCATTTAGAACATTGCGCGATTCAATGAGGACATTGACCGGACTGTCCGGGGAGTATGTGACATTCGACCAGAATGGCCAAAATGCAATTTATGCAGGATTCGAATTTTGAGCAGGAAGCCTTCCGAGTTGATGATTTCGAAGGATTAGCGACGTTATTGGAACGTTTAGCCAAACGGTGAGGGCTAGAATATTCTAGTATTTTAAATTTTCAAAAATTCGAATGATGACGTCACATTTCTGAGAAATGCTGAAACGGCCATTTTAACAAAAAAGCGAGTAAAAAACAGAACAACTTTTATCGGCGATTGCGAATAGTACGAAAATCGAGATTGGAGAACGACAACAAACTACAGAATAGCAGAGAACGTTCCGAGTTGCAACTATTGTGCTGCTACAATAGTTGCAAGGCCGTTGCCAACAACGGTGAAGGGTGAGAACCAGCCTTCCGGATTAGCGAGAAATCAAGAGTAAGGAGCTTGATTCAGCGGATTCAAGAATCCGGAAGGGTCTCGGGACGGAAACTTTTATTAACTCATATAAACTTTTAGCATCCGGTCATGTCCTGACTTGAATTTAACTGATATTTTGATTAGTTTTGACAAGGATGAGGTGCTAGGAGTTGGGGGAAAGGGTTGATCCATCTTCGATGGAGATGATGATTTTTATCTACTGAACAAAAACAATAGTAATATGATAAGTAGTAGCCCTGTTTTTAGGAGTGACCTCGTGGTCTGGGGATACAGAGACCCAGCCATGAGCTCACTAATTTCGCATGTAATTCAGTTAATTTGAGCGTTCTGGTCGAAGCCGGAGAACAGTAACGTTTTTGTCAGCCTGATGTAAGAAAGACCACCGAAAAGTACTGGCTTGGTAGAGACGGTGAAAAACATGCAAAGCTCTGTTTAGACGCTAGCCAGTCGTCTTAAGACTTAGTTTTGTTATCCGTCGATATGTATCTTCCGGGCGAATGTTACAGATGTAACGGTAGTAGACTCCTTAGCTCCTTGTAGAATTAATGCCGGGTCTGTTTGTAACCCTGGTGCGGCTGCCGCTGAAGCGGAAGGGCGAAAAAATGACAAGTATAAAGATCTTGTAGATGATGGATATCTTTTTCAACCGCTAGCTTTTGAAATTCAGGGCGCGGCCGGCCCCAGCACAAGTTTTTTTGAGCAAGCTTTGTTAGAACCTAAGCATATGCACTGAGGAACCCAGAGCAGGCAGCTTTTTAAAACAGAGAATCTCCCTGGCAATATAGATTGCGAACGCCGCTTGCGTACTCGGAACAATAAATGACAAAATAACTTTAGACGAAATTTTTTATTTGTAACTTTTGTATATTATATTTTCTCGTGTCGAGTTGCGTGTTCTTATTGAAGAAACGTAACCCGTATCGACTTTAATTGAAAAGGACTTAAACACTTGTCATCTTCTTCTATCATTATCACTTCCATATCTAGAAAACTCCAAGGATTTTGACTGGAATACGTGATGAAGGGACTCCTGACTGTAACACTGTAACCTCGGTTACTATGATACTTTTGACCTTCTGATTACCTAAAAAAAAAGATATGGAACTTATGCGACTGCTTTTTTTAAAAATCTTGGGACAAATTTTCCCTTTTGGGACCTATAAACACGCACCCCTATTGCTGCTTCATTAACGTATTTTACATCAACACATAGAAACCATTGGACTTTCTTAGAGTCGCTAAGAGAAATATTTACACAACTTATGTGATATCAACTAGAACAATCCAAATTTGTCGGACCGTGTCAGCAAAGCTTCCTTTGCGATGGTGTTTTTGATTGTTTTACATTTCAGAGCTATGTAAGTTATTTTTGAGACTCCAACTCACCGGAAGCTCCATATAATGGAAATAGCGCTCTTGGGTGAAGCTTTGAGCGAAAAGAGCACGCCGGATGTGCGAGAAAGGGTATGAGTTTTTCTTCATTTTGTGTTGATATCGCTAAATACTGTTCAATAAAATTGTCAAATTTTAGGCCCTAGCTCTTTACCAACAGTTGAGCTCATCAAATATTGGATGGAAAACTTTCAGCTGTCTTACTGAAAATGCTTATTTCTTCGAGATGTAAGTTCACTTAGCTTTTGATCTTCGATGTGTCATGCAGCAATGTGGCCTTTAAGTTACATGCATCAGCTATATATCGAAAGTACAGTGTTAATACCATGAACAATTTTTCTCTCGCATTAGATTTTTTCACCATTTTTAATGTGTTCCAACAGCCACGCGGACGATGCAGCGATTAGCAGAAAAACAAAGTGAAAAAAGACAAGAAAGCTATCCAGAATCTATAAACTACATAAGAACTAAAATAAGCTTCGCGCTCCTGAGGAGCTCTATACTTTGTATAAGGGGGTGCAGATCGCTACGCAAAGTTCAATTTATCGACAACTCCATAAGCGCTATTGTAGAGGAAGGACGGCTAAGATAAATTAACATTACGACGATGCATTTAATGCTGATTTTTGACTTCATTGCTGATGTATATATGCATTTTTATATCGCTGGTATAGCCCTATCCAGCTTGTGCACTTACCGTAACTAAACGGAAGGGCCCCTTTTGTAATTTATTTTTTTTTTTCAAAAAAAATTTTTTTTTTATGTGTTTGCACTATTTTTAATGGCCGATTTTTGAAATTTGTGTACTTTCTTACCTGTGATATGAAAAAAGGTAAGTTGTGGTCAATTTCTGTCTTATTTTTTAATCTCGCTCAAAATCGGCTGTCGACATTAATGTGAAACTATTTAATAATTTTGTATTGATTTCCTGCGTTTCACAAATCGATAATTAAACGTAATCAATCAGGAACGTACACTTGTCATCATGCCAGCAACTTCTATAATAGAATCAGTGATTAATCAGTTGGTAGTTTGGCTTATAATGAATTCAAATTAAATTACTGATTCTGCATTTGAAGTAGAGGTAACGCTCATGTTTGGGATGTCTGAGACGGTCGGTGTTTGAGTACTGCCAGGACCTGCAATGTTTTGTGTTTGCACCTTCTCTGCTTTCTAAAATCAAACTTTCGGACCACCGTGTTTCTGCTTATTTTTATCAGCTTAGGTTCTCCAGCGCATGGCTTTTTAAAATGAAAATCTGCTTTTTAAAAAACGATTTGCTTTAGATTGTGGATTTTTGATTTTTGGATTATTTTTCGCGTAATCATAATTCGTAACAATTCACAGAAGGCGTGGATATACCATCACAGACTTGTTCAACATATGCAGATAGGTCGATAGTGGTAGCACATACTTAGAAACTTTCTAAATAGGATTTTCAAGTGTTTTGTCGGTGTTTCGGCGCCAATTCGATCGTTTTTGTTTCTAAGATGAAGTTTTGCTCCTAGTATTAACTTTAGCTCGGCTTTAAACTTGATGTAAATTTTTGATAGTTGTATACGAAATGTTCAATCTTAAAAGTTATTAGTATTGTTGGTTTTTTTCCGGATTAATGTCTAGGTGTAAAACTCTGTCCGCTTAATTTCCGCTACTCTTTAGCTAATTTTGTTTCCAGTATTAGCTGATTTGAGAGTTCTATGCTTCCGGATAAATTTTTGCCCGTGCGGTAAGCAAGGGTATTGCAATCGGGTTGTAGAGTTTTTTTCCCGTAATTAACCCTGCTCACATGACTGACTTTAAAGAAAAAAGAAAGAAATGAAATTAGAAAAATTTAAAAGGACTTTTTTTTGAAAAGTGTTTTGCATGCGGATAAATATTTGTAACTAGTCTTTATTATATTTTAATGCGTGTGACCCGTATCTTGCCATGTTTAAGCGGTAATTTTTCGCAACAGTTAAGGGCATAACGTATCTATGCGTGGTTAAGCTATATCGTATATTGCAATGCTTAAGATTTTTTTTCGATTTTCCAGTTTGAATCTAGTGTTTGTTCCATTGAGTTAAAAATTATCATCACAAAAGAGGAATGCTGTCAGTTTCCCCAGTGTTTGCGAGTTTGGTCTCAAATAATGAATGCCCAAATCCTTTCAGTGTACGAGATACGACAATTTTTGTGATTTTATTCAAAGTTTTTTGGAAAACTCAATTTACAAAATAAAGTCCCAATTATGTATTTGGGTGCTGTCACTGTACTCTAAAGGATTGAGAATCTTGCCTCCAAAGTTTTCGAGATATGACGTGTTTTATGTTTTCTTTTTCATTTTTCAGAAAACATAGATTATAAAATATTCAAAAAGTTTGAAATTCATAATCTTGTAGTTGGGTACTATGAGGGTACTCAGAAGTTTCAAGATCCAAATCTTGCGTCCAAAATCGACTGCTAAAATGCTCTTAGTTTTCGAGATATGACGTGTTTTGTCAAAATCTTTCAGGAAACTTAAATTTATTATTTTTTAAATTTCAAACACTCTTGGCGGCTGTCAGAATACTATAGGAGGTTGCGAATCTCACTTCAAATTATGACTGCTCAAATCTTTGTAGTTAATCAGATATGCCTTTTTGTGATTGTTTATAAAAATTTCAGAAAACATAAATTTTATTTTTTCTTCTTCAAACTTTGGAATTCCCTTCCTTGTAATGGGGGCTCCCAGAATATTCTCAGAAGCTGCGAATCTTGCATCCTATTATTACTGCTCAATTTTTTTAATGTGTTCGAGATATGACGTTTTAATTTTTCTTCTGCATATTTTAATCGAATTTTGAAGCCCCCTTCCGTGTAATGGGAAGGGGGCTGCAGAGTATTTTCAGGGGTTGCAAATCTTGCCTCCAAATATGACTGCTAAATTTTTTGTGGTTTTCAAGATATTACATTTTTTTGCGATTTTTTCAGAAAATTTAATATATATTTTTTTCAAATTATGTAATTCTCAACGCTTTTTTTGGGGATGTCAGAGTACTCAAGGGGGTTGCGAATATCGCCTCCTCATATGGCATCTTAACTCTTTGTAATTTTCGTTTTTATGGTTTTTCAGTTTTTTCTCAAAGTTTGAAATTCCTAACCCTGCATTTGGGTACTGTGAGAGTACTCTCAAGAGTTGCAAATTTTGCGTCCAAATTCGACTGCTCAAATGCTTTTAATTTCCAAGATGTGACGTTTTCTATGTCATTTTGAATTTTTTCAAAGAACTTAGATTTAAAAATCTAATGATTTTTCAAAATTTGAATTTAAAAAACTTAAAAAAAATTGAAATTACCAACCCTGTTGTTGGGTGGTGTCAGATTACACACAAAGATTGTAGATCTTTTTTCATTATATGCGGTTTTGTTCATGAGTTCTCAAAAATTCGAAGAACCGGAAGTGCGTTACACGCTAGTTTGTTGTTATATCGATTCGGACAAAATTTAATTTTCTCGTTTTGTTGCAAAACATGCTCTTGTCGTTTGTTTCCATCGTTGCTTAATTACTCGAAGTTTTCTCTTTTGTTTTAAAGCTGAAAATAATTATTCAGCTCGAAACTTCATGTTTTTTTTCAGGAAGAAGTATTAAAAGTTGTTCACTCTTAATTGTTATTTTTCGCGGTTAGGTTTTTTAAAGTTAATTCTAATGCATTTGCTGAACAGAAGGCAACTTCAAGATAATCTCGATTAAAAAATTTCAAATAGCCGTGAGGAAGAGTGAATGACTTATTCTGGAAATTCAAAGAGCTTGAACATGATATATATAAAACTCGAAACAATTTTCAAAAAAAGTCAATTGTGTTTTTTTACGGTCTCCTTGATTCCATTGTCACATTTTTCTGTAGACTATGTCTTAAGTTCATTATGTTTGATCACAAGCGGCGCGAAGCTCAGTGTCGTTTTTTGAGCCAAGTGCAATAAATATTCTATTTTTAACTTTGTTTTAACAGCAACAGTCAACTGCAGTTTGCAACATTGGTGTTGCTTCAAGATCACGTGAAAAATCATTTTGACTCCTCGAACGAAGTGGAACAGGCAGAGTTTCGGCAATTTGCTCAGGAAATATTGGTTGAATTTGTAAGTACTCGCTTGTGACGTTTTGACTTTTTACGTTCTAGTTTTACTGTTTTGTATATGGCAATAATCTGCATAACACATTTTCCGACAAAGAGCGTATGTAGGATGCTCTTGATTGGTAACCGAAAGAATGGATGCAAATAATCATAAAATTTTTCATTCGAACCCCTAAGATAAAAACTGGGTTATTTTTAGGGCAACAAAGTGCATGTTTGTCCTCGACTTACAAACACTAAGTTTGCATCATTTCTGTCGGCCCTATGTGTACATGACTACCCTGCTAATTGGAAAACGTTCTTCCGTGACATCATGTTCTTGAAAGACAGGGGAATTAAGGGGATTGAATTGTACCTGATGATTCTGAAAGAGGTCAATTGTGAGTTATCTGACCGACAGATTGCAAGAACAGAGGAGGAATTCAAGAGAAACACGTTCATTAAAGATACAATGCGAGATGATTGTGTTTCTATAATGGCCGATTCTTGGAAATGGATTCTGAATCAGGCCTTGTCAAACACAACTGTCTTTGACATAGACCACGACGAAAATTCTGCAAATATTGTCAGTCTGTGTTTGAACGTGATGGCAGGATACATACAATGGATAGAGATTGGAGAGCTTGTTAATAATGAGGTTGTGGGCTTGTTGTTGTCGCTGTCATTCAAGAAAGGGACAAGAAAAGCGGCCATAGAGACTATTGATGCAGTTTGTGCCAAAGGCATGCTTCCCGATAGCAAAATGCCGATGATAGATTCCTTCTATTCAGTCCTCAACTCGCAGAGTATTCTGACCATCTCGAAATACGACGCAGATGATGAAGACGACGTTGAATATTTGTGCTCTCTGTCCGCGTTTGTTAACAGTTCGGTTTTGCAACTGGTCGATATATTCAAAGAGTATGCTAGGAAGGACTTCAGTGTTTCAAACAAGGCTTTAAGTTCGATTGAAGAAAAGGTACCGATAATGCTGGAGCTTGTTCGATGCGAAGATGATGATGTTTCGAAGGCAATTTTGAACTCCACTAAAGAACTTCTGGCAATCTATCGTCAAATTTCAATGACCGCTGAGCGAAAAGAGATCACGCAGCAAATTATGTTGGGACTTGTGAAAAAATACAAATTTGAACCAGACTTTAATTTTGAAAATTCACAAGACGACGAAAATGATTTCTACGTTTTCCGCAACGATTTGAAATACTTGTTTGACAGTTTGGCGAAGCTTGACAATATGTTGGTTACTGAGTTTGTTCAGACTTGTTTCATGTCCACTGTTCCAAGTTGGAGGTCACACTCGTTCGATGAAGTTGAACTTTCTCTGCATTTGTTTTATTTGCTCGGAGAGGCGCTGCCTCACGTAAGCGGCAACATTTTCACTGCTGAATCGCCATGCACGGTTATCGTATGCAACATTCTTCATGCACTGGTGACTTCAGAAGTTGTGCAGTTTGATCATCCTGCAGTTTTGTTGATCTATTTTGAAATCATGGTTCGCTACGACAAGTTTTTCGCTTTCAATTCTCAACACATTCCCACAGTTCTGGAATCATTCACTGGACATTCAGGGGTGCTGAGCAAGTATAGTCAAGTTAGAGGTCGATGTGCTTATTTGTTTTGCCGCTTTATTAAACTCCTCAAGTCTTCAGTTCAGCCGCACCGTGATGTACTATTGGGAAAAATTGAGAAAATAATCGAACAAGTGTTCGCCTTGGACTACGTTGATTCGCAGTCTCCGAGAATCGAAAACGAAGATAGTCAGTTTTTGTTCGAGGCGGTGGGACTTCTGATCCAAATGTGTCCCCCAGAAAGTGCCCCAGTGATGCTAGGAAGTGTGTTGAGGCCTATCAATCAGAGGATCGAACAGTACGCAGACCTGTTGCTGGAGATATCTACTAGTTGTGATCAGACTAGAATGAGTCAGCAGATGAAGGACAAGGCCACTGCGGCTGCACAGAACTTCGCAGATTTCGTCTCATTTGCCAGGTCAGTTTTTGAAATTTAACCGGATGTTTTTTAGTTAGCGGAGGAAGCGCCTTCTAGCAACCCCCTCCCCTTTATCGGTAAACTTTAAAGGAGCTCTCTCAGTGAGTTGATTTGAATATCTATATGGAGTTTTCACTAAGTTCTTTGACGAAGTACGGAAAGAGTTTTATACATTTCGAGAGATTTAATCATGGCCGAAGGACCGAACCAATCAAAAGCCTTTATTAAACTTATTATTTTTTCTTCAGTTTTGAACACCGAATTCTGGTAGGCTAATGAAATTGTCTTCGGTTTGATTTTCTGCCATATGAAATTCATCTTACATAGTGATTTACAAACTGATTAACTGGATTACAAATAGATGATTTTTGCAGCCGGTTGAGCAAAGCGTTCCAAACGAGCCAGGCTGTGGAGGCCAGTGGATGTGGAGCATGCCTGGTAGAGACCCTGGATTTCGTGCTGAAGGGACTAAGAGTGCGACAGGACTTCACACTGGGATTCACTAACGTCGTCTATGCTGCAGTGAAACAATACCTCCACAGAATGGTCATTTGCCTGCCGAGTGAAATCATTCTGCATTATGTGAAACTGACAATGGAGTCACTGCTGCAGGCCATAAATAACCCCAGTAGTGTCCCCCCTCTAGGAGGTGGGGGTGGTGTGGTGCCCAAGAGTAGACACCTGTCGGCAGGGGGGTTGATTGAGTTCATCCCGTTGGTTAACCAAGTGGTTGCCAGGTACAAGGTAAGAGCAGCCTCTTCTGTTTCTATTGAGTGACTTATCTGATTTCACTGAACTTCCTTTTACTGTTAGCTCGATTGGGAGCTACCTCATTCTGGCGAAGCTGTCCAATTAAAATTTTCTTGTGCAATTTTGTAGGAGTTCAGTGCCTCGCACTCAACTGTAAGTAGCGAAACTCTCAGAAACCAAAAGCAACCGTCAAACGAAACAACGTCCGTCATCTTTTTAATGCTTTTGTGTTGGCAAAAATTGGAATCATGTTTCTATTTTGAGCATTTTGCAGTTTTTCTGATATCGTTTTAGAAACAGAGCGTGGAAATGCTGGACGGAATTTTCGTCCCGGTGCTACAAGTGTTTTCAATGGTCGCTCTGTCCCAAGACCCGACCGACACAACTGCAGGCCAAGTAGTGTCTTCAGCCTCTCACGTGTCCTGCTCTTCGACAGACGAGGAAGCTACCCTTAAAGAGTTGCGGAGCCAGTTGAAGAGATCTTTTTTCACCTTCATCAATACTATCCTGCACAATGACGCATTCCCTGTCATCACGGGGAGGGGCCAGGATGTGGTGTGGATGGTGTTGATGAGTGTGGCAGATGGAGCATTGCACTTTCCCGACCCGGTGGTAAGAAGTCAAATAAGTTTGCTTACACTGAAGTATTCGTGTTTTTGAGCGATTCAGGACATACTCTTTTCTAAATCAGTTCCTAAAAATTAGTTTCTCAAAATGTAGTTTTCAGTAAAGAAATTGCATATATAAGTTATAGGTGTTAGTGTATACTTGTTGGTTGAAATTTCAAAAGTATTGATGTTTAAACTAAATCGAACAAGTATAGCCGGTTACTGTGTGAGATTCCGAGCACAGTAAATAAGAGTCGATAAACATAATGAGACTTATATAATAACTTACAATTCTGAGTACCGTTAGATTAAATTCAATTTCTGTTTTAGACACAGAAGCTGTGCTTCACGATTCTAAAGAAGTTCATCGAAGTCGCTGGTAAGTGCTTAGAAGTTGAGAAATCGGGAGATATTTCAATACTTATTTCAATTACTATGATTAAGTATTTGTTGAAGTTACTTGGTCTTGCTTTTAGACGATGAGTCGGGAACAGCGTGTGACGTCAAGAACTTCGCCTTCAGCAATGTGATCCCTGCTTGCTTTGCAGTGTGCTGTGCGCCCAATTTCAACCCCAAAGACGCCCAGTCGAACATGGCGCTGATGGAGGCTGCCACTGCCCTCAAAGTGTCCGCGGAGAAGTATGGGGAGAACGTGGTGGCGGAGTACCTGGCCAACTCCTACCTCCCCTCTCAGAACATACCTCAAGATAGGATCAATGTCAGTCAACACATTCCCCCCACCCTCTTTTTCTTCAATTATCTCCTAAAAATTCAAACTTTTTTCTAATTTATGAAGATTGAAATAATATAGTGTTATCGAGAACAGTAAAAGTAATTTTATAATGGCGTTTACCATGGTTGCTTGGTACTTATTATGACGTTCATTCTCGGACGTTCAATTTTAAATTTGATGTTTTTTTGGGATCCAATTGTTATTGTTGTGTATTTTAGGAGTTGACGATCGCTATCAAAACATACGATGCCAAACGATTTCGAGATTTCTACAAGGTTAGAATAAAAAATAACTTATTATTTGATATGGGTTTTTATTGATGACGATTCTGATCAGTTTTTCAATTTAATAGGAATGGATTAACAAGCTATTGGGATGAACTTTGCTGGCTTACAAAACATGTTATGCTCTGCCCGTCGAAGTGAATGAAGTTGTAGCCAGCGAGTATTTTACAAACAGGTGCCTTCCAGAGGATAGAAATTATATTGAAGAAATAACTTCATTTGCTGATGTTTTGTGTGGTTAACTGATTACATGTCATCTTTGCTATGAAAATGCTCTAAATTTGTACTTTAATGCAGTATTGTAATGTCGGAATATAGCGGTGTATGTAAATTATACAATGTTAAATGAAAGGGGTGTAATAAGCAATCAATCTTCTTTGGTTCTTAATTGCAATCGTTTTGATTGCTAGAAAATTTATGTTTTCTAAAATCTATTTTGTATTACTGTTTACGCTTTGAGATGGAAAATGGTTATAAATATATACGGCAGTTTTGAAAAAGGAGGAGCTTCCAACTTTCGCAAAAAAATGAAAAATTTTGAATATTAGTGCTGTCGAATGCTTGATAAGTTTTCTTTTGAGGGGTTCTAAAACGCATATTTGCAGCGCAACCTGATTTGGACAGTTCTTTTCGGATAAAGGGGAGAAGAGATTAATAAGAATCTAAGTATCCGCCTCTCTTTGAAGCACAATACGCTTCTGCCGGAGAACGGGACATCATTACGCAGCCCAGGTATCCCTCTGTGGATTAATTGTCTTGAAGAACTATTCGTCTGTTTGTCAAATAAGTAGCAGGAAAATTTTTAATTCTGGTGTTTTGCTCAAAATCAGACTGCAAATCAAAATGCGACCTAATTCCGAAATGGGATGATCATATTGAAGTCCTTTAAAAATCGATCACGTGAGCATAGTAATGGTATCGCAGTGGTATTTGCATCTGTCTAACAGTTCATGGATCAGTTGAATTAAGATCCCGCTGTTTAAACGAAATTGAGTACATTGTTATTATTATCCTAAAGAGCCCATGAACAAAATTGTTTAAGAGTAATCGACGTAGTGAAGGCTTATATAGGTTTTGTGATATTTTTTTTTGGTTTAGTTAGGAAAAGTTTTAGAGTCTGTTCACGCTCAGTTGTCTGAGTTGTCTGATTTCACGCTAGAGTCTGATTTTTCGCGGTTTGACTTTGATTTCTTTTCAAGTTCAGTGCAGTTCTATTGTTAAAAGGAAGGCTTGCTCCCCTATCGAACAGCAAAAGTGTCAAGGTCACGAAAAACTAGATCGACTTTATTTTTGAAAGGGATTTTAAATGTTCAGTTTTCCCATCGGAATTGAAAATTTACCTATTGATCCAGTTTTCTGAAATTGGGTTCATTTCATCAAGACAGCACCAATCATGAATTGTTAGTGAAATTCAAAGAGTTTCATGGTCATAAGTTTTTAAAATGTGAAAGTTGAAGTTTTTTTCAAACAATTTATTTATTTCTGTTTCCTTGCGTTCATTTCTCTTTTCCAACTGTCAAGGCTATGTTTTCCACTTTGGGTTGCTTTTGCTTGTTCCATGTATTTTTTTATCAGATTTCTAAACAACTTTGTTCACAGGACTCATCGACTCCTGGTACCTTGGTTCATACGCGAATGCAAACTAAAAATAAGTGATTTCCATTTGTTTTGTTTCTAGTTTTTTTTTTGTTTTACGTTTACAACTCTTTGATAGCTCTTAAATGTCTTGGCGTTTGAATCTTTTATTTATTGTATCGCAATTAGTGCGTAGCTCAGTTTCGCCTCTGTGTGAAAGTTATTTTTATGGTTCAGTTTTTTTTTCAGCTGAATTAGAAAATAAAACATAGGGTAGTTTTTTCAAGCTGAGTTAACTTAACTAAATATGAGTCAACCAGAACTACAAACCTAACTAATTGCTGCAGTGATATGTTTTTTCTTTGATTTCGAAAGTTGGAAAATATTTGTTTTTTAAAAATCAGCAATTTTTTCTACATACATGACATACATATTCACCAAATATGACCTCCAGTACGAGACCAAACTGTGCATTTTGTGAATTGTATGCGATTCAGCAACAAGCCTAAATCACATTCATCGTGGTATCTGCAGCTTTGCTACTTTTCTTCGATCTTCTTTGTGGTTTTGAATTCCACAAACAAACAGCTAAAACACGGTATCCACAAATAAAATCCACAAACAAAAAAAACAATTAAAAAAAGGTATAGATAAATTGTGCTGTCGCGGAATCCGCAAATTGTAATTGGAATCTGACTTTTTTTTGCGGATTCCAGTTGCAAATGTTAAAGCGTTTTGAAGTAATTTTTTTGCTAGGTGGTCACCAGGGAGTTCAGTCGCAGTTACTGCTAACAGTTGAGCTACCAGTTGAAATATCAAACGTTCGATCTCAATTCCTGCCAACTTTGATCTCAGTTCCTGCCCCCAACTTACTTTTTACTTTAATTGCGAATGCTTCCAACTCATACTCAATTTTGATCTCAATTCCTGCCAGTTTCGATCTCAGTTCTTTCCATGTTTGATATCAATTCCTGTTAGTTTCGATCTCAATTCCAGTTTTACACCTAACTTTGATCTCAATTCTTGTCACTTCGATCTCATTTTCCGCCAATTCGTTCGGTCTCAACTCCTTCAATCTCATTCCAAAGCTCATTCCATTCATCTCTTTTTAATTACTGGCGATTAGAATTCACTCTGGACCATCTGTAATCCCAAATAATGGGATTATTTACATTTTCATTTTGGTTTTGATTCTATATTTGGGTACGAATATGGGTCTCTACGCGGTATAATCGCTTGTTGCCGACAACGTTAATGCTACAGGTTTTGGTACGCGGAATCCACGGAAGTTTTGTGAATGGAATACGCCTAAACTTTGGAAGATGTTTAAAGACTTGTCTTTTGAATCCAGAAAGATGCAGAAACCAATTGGTGCGCCTATCCAGCACACAATTTGGCCTTGTATAGTCATATTCAATTTTTTTTTGGCTGAAGAAGAATGCATTTTTTTTATTTCCATTTTGTTTTGAAACATATATGGGTTTCTACTCGGTATAACTTGTTTCAGCTGAGTTATTTGATGTTTGTTGCAGCTTGTACTTAAGTTGTGCAGGCTCATGGTGCACTCATCGACCATAGCAATCGCAAAGAAGCTAAGCAACGAATTTTCAAACACAAAATCGTTCTCGGGCAAACTTTTTTCAGTCTCATGATTTCGGTTGTAATCCGATTTACTACATCTTAAACCCATTTCCAAGTGGTTTTATAATTTGTCAGGATTTTAGAATTTTCTCAGTACATTTTTTCACTTTTTTCTCATAAAAGTCATTCACCGTCAACATATGCTTCATTTATTTCCGGAAAATTATTTTCGATTTTAACATTGAGACGATGAACTAAAAAAATTATTTCGAGAAGCTGATTTCAAAAATTTCCAAAAATTTAGAAAACTGAACATTGTTTCTCAGTTGATTCTTGCTCTTTTTAGTTGAAAAATCTGAGTTCATTCTTTCAAAAGTTAAATTTCAAGTAAAGAACTGGTGAAACGTCTCAAATTTTTCTCAAAGCGTTCTTCAACTAACTCAAATGACTTTTTGTTTATGAAAGGATTGTTATTTTTTGCAGTTTCAGTTTTTTTCTAAAGATTTCAATGTATGCGAATGAAGTGTATTTTCAAGTGATCCTAATTCTTGATTGCGGTGCTCTTAGGGCTTTCTATGTGTTAACAAATATCTTCCGGGTTGACAAAAACTGCTTGTCATACAATTTTCATATATGAAAAAATGCTTATCAAATTCTTCCATACAATTTCATAGAGCAAAAACAAGTGTATGAAAATGGCAAAATTAGCATTTTTTTCATAATATGAAACTGTATGACAAGCTTTTTTTTCATACTATGAAATTGTATGATGAGCGTTTTTTACATAAATGAAACTAAAAAAAAAATTTTGTTTCGAGATTTTAGGTTTCAACCGAAACACTAACCAAGGTTTTTTTGTCATAAGAAAACCCAGTGTAACCGGTAGTTACCACGCAGATAAACTGCATTTGGTGATTTTAGCCTTGAAAATTATATTTAACATTTTTACATGGAACTATATACCAAAAAAGTAACTTTTTGAATATGGCTTGATAATTTTTAGTTTGAAAACTTTGATGATTGAGAAAAAAGCCAATTTTTTATAAATCTATTTTCAATCTAAGCAAATGAAAAAAAAAGTATTAATCGTGATCACCAAAAAATTTTTTTTGAACTTTTAAATTTTTTTGGGTGAAAAACTCAACCTGGACTACGTTATAAACACAAAAAGTCAAGTTTTGCCTGCAAAAAATTATTTGGAAAATTTTCTTAGCACAAAAGCAAATTTGCAAAAAAAAGGGATTAAAAATTTTTTACCTCCATTTTTTTCTTGTTTATGAAAAAAATGCATATCATACAGTTTTCATATATGAAAACTATGATAAGCATTTTTCTGACCGCAATTAAAATTATGTTTTTGATTGTCAAAATGCCCTGTATCATAGTTAAAATTTGTTTAAAATCTATTTAAAGTTACCCAGACACGTTTTTTGGTATTTTTTGAAAATTTAATTCTTTCTATGTCAAAATGACTATCTTATAATTTTCATACATGATTTTTCATCGAAAATTTTAAATCATTTTCTTAATGGTCAGAAAGCTTCGAATGTTCAGCGCTACTTCGAATAAATGTTTTTTATTGAAGTAAATCATAGCGCTCAAGATCGTTTTCGAGTTAAACAAGACTGGTCGTGTCAGGGCGAAGCCCTGAAGGTTCCAACTGCCTTTTAAGGCATATGGAGCAGTAGTATTATCAAAAAATTAAATACAATAAAACAAATTGAAAATTTTTTTCTAAAATTTGAATTTTTTTAATGAAAATCATCCCCCCACACGCCATATTAAGTACAAAAGGGTAGATTTTGCTCCTTGCAACAAATCAATTATGGCAAATAAGAGTCTTTCAACCAATTTGTAACGATTTCTAAGACGGATCAACTCTCCGCTTACGCGTTAATAGGGCGAAATATATCGCGCGTTAGTTGTCCCAAATTGGCCAAAATGGCAATCTTTAAACCCCATAACTTTACGAAAAATAATCACAGGTAAAATATCTTTTCGACTTTGAGCTCAGGACAACAATACCTTTCAAATGATATTTAAAAAAATCCGTCAAAAATGGCTAGATAAAAAGTCGAAATTTGTCTGAAGAAAAAAACCCACCCCGAGCACAAATATTCCGTTACTTTCGTATCGAAAGTCGGAACAATAATGCACTGTTTGCATACTGCATTTTACGCATTGTTTTTTTTTTCTCTTCGATTTTAGTGCCTTATGACATTATGCTATTTTTCATTTTTGGCTTTCTGATATTTCTGTATTGTAGGCCTTATTTTGA